TAGTAATTCACCCCCCATATAGTAATTCATCCCCCATAGTAATTCATCCCCCATATAGTAATTCATCCCCCATATAGTAATTCATCCCCCATAGTAATTCATCCCCCATATAGTAATTAATCCCCCATATAGTAATTCATCCCCCAAATAGTAATTCATCCCCCATAGTAATTCATCCCCCATATAGTAATTCATCCCCCATATAGTAATTCATTCGCCATATAGTAATTCATCCCCCATATAGTAATTCATCCCCCCTATAGTAATTCATCCCCCATAGTAATTCATCCCCCCTATAGTAATTCATTCCCCATATTAGTTCATCCCCCATATAGTAATTCATCCCCTCTATAGTAATTCATCCCCCCTATATTAATTCATCCCCCATATAGTAATTCATCCCCCATATAGTAATTCATCCCCCCTATATTAATTCATTCCCCATATTAATTCATTCCCCATATAGTAATTCATCCCCCATAGTAATTCATCCCCCATATAGTAATTCATCCCCCATATAGTAATTCATCCCCCATATAGTAATTCATTCCCCATATTAGTTCATCCGCCATATAGTAATTCATCCCCTCTATAGTAATTCATCCCCCCTATAGTAATTCATTCCCCATATTAATTCATCCCCCATATAGTAATTCATCCCCCATATAGTAATTCATCCCCCCTATATTAATTCATTCCCCATATTAATTCATTCCCCATATAGTAATTCATCCCCCATAGTAATTCATCCCCCATATAGTAATTCATCCCCCATATAGTAATTCATTCCCCATATTAGTTCATCCGCCATATAGTAATTCATCCCCTCTATAGTAATTCATCCCCCCTATAGTAATTAATTCCCCATATTAATTCATCCCCCATATAGTAATTCACCCCCCATATAGTAATTCATCCCCCCTATAGTAATTCATTCCCCATATTAATTCATTCCCCATATAGTAATTAATCCCCCATAGTAATTCATCCCCCATAGTAATTCATCCCCCATATAGTAATTAATCCCCCATAGTAATTCATCCCCCATATAGTAATTCATCCCCCATAGTAATTAATCCCCCATATAGTAATTCACCCCCCATAGTAATTCATCCCCCATAGTAATTCATCCCCCCCCTATAGTAATTCATCCCCCCTATAGTAATTCATCCCCCATATAGTAATTCATCCCCCATATAGTAATTCATCCCCCATATAGTAATTCATCCCCCATAGTAAATTCATCCCCCATATAGTAATTCATCCCCCATATAGTAATTCATCCCCCCCCCATATAGTAATTCATCCCCCATAGTAGAGTAATTCATCCCCCATATAGTAATTCATCCCCCATATAGTAATTCATCCCCCATATAGTAATTCATCCCCCATATAGTAAGTCCCCCCTGTGTCAATTCACTTACCTTTGCTCCGCGCGTTCCTCTCGCCGTGTTCCCGCGCCGTTCTGGTCTTCAGGGCGGACTGTGAGAGGAGAGGAGTTCGTCACGCTGCCCGGCCTACATCCTGGCTGCCCCGCCTACATCCTGACAGCTGCAGAGTCCTGACTTTTGGGGCGGCTGCCCGAGAGGAGGGAGGGGAGGGGGCGGCCGCCCGAGAGGAGGGAGAGGAGGGAGGGGAGGGGGCGGCCGCCCACCCGAGAGGAGGGAGGGGAGGGGGCGGCCACCCGAGAGGAGGGAGGGTAAAAGTTTTGCTTGGCCTCCCTACTGGTCCTTGTAACAGATGATCTCAGTAACCAGCACAAAAGAGCAGGCGGAGAAAGGAGCAGGGCTAAGTTTGACTTTTACAAGAAAAGTCAATATCTGCATTGAACTGTAGCTGCCTAGATCTCTGGATCTGTCGATGGTTTTGACATGCAGTTTTCCCTGAAGGGATTATTCAGCTTGAATTGCCCAGATATAAAAATGTTTTACTCCTCTGACTGCAGATCCAATTTTTTTTTCTTCTTTTTAATTCAGGCATTCAGATATTTATAATGAATAATATAATGAATGCAATAATATATTCTGATGTTTGTAAAGTAATACACATGATTGCCTGTTATGTATGTGTTTTCTAGAATTTGTGGAATCTGTTTATCGTATTACAATAATCTACCAGAACATCCCATAACAAGACAGCCCACATTAATGACGGCCAGTTTAAAAAGCAAAACATCATAACAGGATTATTTCCTGTATTAAAATTGATTACAAAATTTAGTATTTATACTGGGGAGCTGGGGCTTGGAAAAGAAGCAGGTTGTCATGGCAACTAGATACTATTTTTATCCTGATTACGTCACTTAATCTCCTTACTGAACAAAAAGCTATCTGTGGTTACCTGGTATCAGTCTGTTCAGTCAATAGCAGGCTGTGCTAAGGCTGGCAGGAGGAATAAAATCACATAGACATACTAGATAGTGCTGTTTACTAGAATCAGAGCCATTCATTCGTTAAGCTGCAATTAAAGCGAAGTTTCATTCTTTTTTTCTTTTAATCACCCCCCACAACAGTCACAGCTTATGCCACGCAAACTGGCATAAGCTGCATATTTTATCGGTTCTTTTGCATGTTTTTTTAAATTTACTTACTACTCCCTCAGGATCACATACTCATCCATCTTCACCGTGGGCATCTGAAGCCCAGCTGCCCTTTCTTCCGGGATACGGTGCACCTCCTGAACTCACGCCTGCGCAGTGTGAAGACAGCGAGGTGCACTTCTTGGTTTGCAGGTTGCCATAGCAAGGGTGGCATCTGCGGAAGTTCCAGCCCTGTTGTTATGGCAACCTGTCAATCATCGCATCACTTCCTGTTTCCTAATAACACGAGATTTCGCTATTAGGCGTCCCTAGGACTCCTGAGATAGATGACGCTGATATCCCAGAAACCCTAGGGAATTGCCTAATGATGAAATTGCTTAGGCGGGCGGGACCGGAAGTGGAAACTGGATTAATGAAAATAAGGTATTTAGAAGGGGAAAAAAAAAAATTATATTTATATATACAGTGGGGCAAAAAAGTATTTAGTCAGCCACCAATTGTGCAAGTTCTCCCACTTAAAAAGATGAGAGAGGTCTGTAATTGGCATCATAGGTAGACCTCAACTATGAGAGATAAAATGAGAAAAAAAAATCCAGACAATCACATTTGGCAGATTTGGAAATAATTTATTTGCAACTTATGATGGAAAGTAAGTATTTGGTCAATATCAAAAGTTCATCTCAATAATTTGTTATATATCCTTTGTTGGCAATGACAGAGGTCAAACGTTTCCTGTAAGTCTTCACAAGGTTGGCACACACTGTTGCTGGTATGCTGGCCCATTCCTCCATGCAGATCTCCTCTAGAGCAGTGATGTTTTGGGGCTGTCGCTGGGCAACACAGACTTTCAACTCCCTCCAAAGGTTTTCTATGGGGTTGAGATCTGGAGACTGGCTAGGCCACTCCAGGACTTTGAAATGCTTCTTACGAAGTCACTCCTTCATTGCCCGGGCGGTATGTTTGGGATCATTGTCATGTTGGAAGACCCAGCCACACGTTTCATCTTCAATGTCCTTGCTGATGGAAGGAGGTTTGCACTCAAAATCTCACGATACATGGCCCCATTCATTCTGTCCTGTACATGGATCAGTTGTCCTGGTCCCTTTGCGGAGAAACAGCCCCAAAGCATGATGTTGCCACCCCCATGCTTCACAGTAGGTATGGTGTTCTTTGGATGCAATTCAGCATTCTCTCTCCTCCAAAACGACGAGTTGTGTTTTCTACCAAACAGTTCTATTTTGGTTTCATCTGACCATATGACATTCTCCCAATCCTCTTCTGGATCATCCAAATGCTCTCTAGCAAAACTTCAGACGGGCCCGGACATGCACTGGCTTAAGCAGGGGGACACGTCTGGCACTGCAGGATCTGAGTCCCTGGCGGCGTAGTGTGTTACTGATGGTAGCCTTTGTTACGTTGGTCCCAGCTCTCTACAGGTCATTCACTAGGTCCCCCCGTGTGGTCCTGGGATTTTTGCTCACCGTTCTTGTGATCATTTTGACCCCACAGGGTGAGATCTTGCATGGGGCCCCAGATCGAGGGAGATTATCAGTGGTCTTGTATGTCTTCCATTTTCTAATTATTGCTCCCACAGTTGATTTGTTCACACCAAGCTGCTTGCCTATTGCAGATTTAGTCTTCCCAGCCTGGTGCAGGTCTACAATTTTGTTTCTGGTGTCCTTCGACAGCTCTTTGGTCTTCACCATAGTGGAGTTTGGAGTGTGACTGTTTGAGGTTGTGGACAGGTGTCTTTTATACTGATAACAAGTTTAAACAGGTGCCATTGATACAGGTAATGAGAGCAGGACAGAGGAGCCTCTTAAAGAAGAAGGTTCAGGTCTGTGAGAGCCAGAAATCTTGCTTGTTTGTAGGTGACCAAATACTTATTTTCCACCATAATTTGCAAATAAATTATTTCCAAATCAGCCAATGTGATTGTCTGGATTTTTTTTCTCATTTTGTCTCTCATAGTTGAGGTCTACCTATGATGTTACAGGCCTCTCTCATCTTTTTAAGTGGGAGAACTTGCACAATTGGTGGCTGACTAAATACTTTTTTGCCCCACTATATATATATATATATATATATATATATATATATATATATATATAAATAATTTTTTTTTTTGCCAAAATGGACTGTTCAGAAGGTGGGCATTGTATTGCAGGGAAGTTAAATAAATGTGTGGAACTGAAAAAAAAGTCACCAGCTACAAAAACTGTAGCTCCTGACTTAATATACAGCCAATTATCTGTCCCTTGGTCCAGTGGTGTCCTCACCACCGCTGGTTTCACCGGAGGTGTTCTCTCTCCCTGGCGCCGGCATCTTCAGTGTGGGTACCCGGCTGTGACAGCTTGCGGCTTCACAGCTGGGTGCCCATTGCGCACGCGCGAGAAGTGCTGCGCTTTCTGAATGGCTCAGTAGTCTTCTGGAACCTGTCATGTGTCCCAGAAGACTACAGGGAGAGAGGGGGGAGGACAACTTCTGCTTCCGATCGCCTAGGCGATAACAGCAGACGTGGGAGCGGGTACCTGTCAAGTTCGGGTACCGGCTCCCCAAAGGTGCCAATCCTTAATGGGGAGTGGGGGACAAAGGCTTACTTCCCCTTTTGGGTGGAGCTCTGCTTTAACTATCCCAAACCCAAGGTGCAGATAACTGTTAATCAAATATAAAACAGATTAGATATGTGCAAAGCAAAGAGTGGAGTTTTCTCATATCTGGTTTGGAGCAGAGATGACATTGTTGACACTTGTGTCAACGGGCTTTTGTTTGTGTCAAAGTGTTTTGCATTCCTATACAAGTCTATGGGTACACATAACCCATTTGAGCTGGTAAAATGCAGCCAGGTTAAATGCACCCGTCAGTGATTTCCGACTGATCTCAGAAGGATCTCAAACTGATACCATTGACACAAGCCCATAGCCTGATGACTCATGCCGCATTGATGATGTCATCAGGTTCCATTTACATCATCACATACTCCTATGTGTAGGATGTTTCTAAAGACTCGTATATGTGGGGGCAACAGGAAGCTTTTAAAAGGATAGAAATTATGTCACTAATTTATTGGTGCATCTTACCAAAAACCCCTTGTATTTTTCCTTTTGTATCAAAGAGACTAAAAATATTCCATAATCAACCTGTTAAAATTGTTACAAAGCATACTTTAATAGAAGTTCCCAACCATGGATGGAGAGAAAGTGGTACTGTGTGTCCAATTCCATTTGCAGGCCTGGGATGTATCTTTACTGCTGGAACCAATAGGAGGTTTTGGAGTGTGCAAAACTTTTAAAAGGATGATTATTGATGGGGTGTAATTACTTAAAGTGGAACTTAACTATATTTGAGAAACTGAAAATACAATTTTATTCATTTTAATATTCAAAGCAAACTCACCCATCCTTTCATGTCTTGATGTTTCAATTTGTTGAGAAATCATTCTGAGAAACACCTATCTAGCATTTCTAGTCATGGTTATCTTGAGTAAGGGCAGATGATGGCAGATCATGTAGTATTTACTTCCAGGAATCTACTTGCCCTTAGGCCAGGCAGGCAGGCAGGAGGGTGTGCTGAGGAGGAGCTGAGAAAGCCCCTCCTCCCCTCCTCCAGATGAAAGAGAAAAAAAAATGCCATGAAGACTCCTGAGATGTATGACATCAATTTGAACTAGGCCAGAACCTGGGAAGTAACTGAAGAAATGTAAAAAAAAATGTAAACACATAAATATGCCTTCCTATTTACTAAGGCTAGCAGCATAAGGATTAAAAATAGTTAATGCTGATGAAGAAAGTAAAGTTCCACTTTAAAATTATTAAAATAGCACCCAAAATCCCCAAATGGAGCTGCTCTGTCAAAAAAAAGAAAACCAAATATGTACAATCTAATATTCAATTAAAATGTTTACATTTAAAATAGTTTTACTGTTTCAGAACTGGAAACATATTTATAAATACAACCAAACACTAAAACTTGTGTGTGGATCTACTGTATATCTCAAATACTTAGTAATTATTCATACAAAATGTAATATGCATAAACACAGCAAAAATATATATGTAGCATTATTAGCCACAGGTCTCATCTTGTCTGATATATTAAAGCGTTTATTGCTCCCAGGTTAAATTTACTCAGAAAGAGGCACAAAAATGGTTAAAAAAATCCCAGAAGAGACCTCACACACATCAAACAAAATGTCTTAAATAATGTCTGACAATCTCAGGGTAGGTTAACAAACTTTCACAGCTTGCTATCAAACACCATTAACACCATTTTGAGTTCAGGTATGTATTCCTAAGGATCACATTTCAATGCAAGACCACCCCGTAGGTCACTAAATGAGTCGGGTCCTACGTGAAATATGGACATAAAATGTATTGGTTCTACCTGAATATGCTGAATAGAATTCATCACAAAAGCACCCCTCATTGATAGTAATTAGTCTGGTTGAACCAAATTTAAAAATTTAAAAAAAATATGAAAAAAGGTAATAGATAACCCCCATGTACACAATCCTATACCTGCAGTTGATATAGAAGAAGGCAAAAAATACCAATAAAGCATGATCCAATTTGCTCAATGGGGGAAAATCTGTGGGGTATTGTCAAGAGGAAGATGACAGACACCAGACCCAATAATGCAGACAAGCTGAAGGCCACTATCAAAGCAACTTGGGCTTTCTTAACACCTCAGCAGTGCCACAGGCTGATCGCCTCCATGCCACGCCGCATTGATGCAGTAATTCATGCAAACGGAGCCTCGACCAAGTATAGAGTGCATACTATACTGCACGTGGACATACTTTTCGGTAAGCCAACATTTCTGTATTAAAAATCCTTTTTTTATTGGTCTTATGTAGTATTCTAATTTTCTGAGATACTGAATTTTGGGTTTTCACTAGCTGTAAACCATAATCATTAAAATTAAAAGAAAGAAATTCCTGAAATATGTCACTCTGTGTGTAATGAATCTATATAATATATTACTTTCACTTTTTGTATTAAATTACTGAAATAAATGAACTTTTGATAATATTCTAATTTATTGAGGAGCACCTGTCTATGGTAATCCACGAATTTAAGTTTTTTTGCCTAAGGTGCAAACTGTTACACGCAAATATAAAATGTCCCCCATAGGATGGCTCTTTGAAAAGTGTGTCTAAAAAGGGGTTAGCATTGCCAGGAACTCTGTACCAAAATCATGGAATATCAACAAATATCAAGTTACCGTACATTAGAGTGGAACTAAAAAGATCCTTGCATAATGTCGCAAGGTCACATTAATTTGCTGGCTCCTCAAACAGAATTATTCAAAGAGCATTTGCATAGGCACTGCATAGGAATGCACATGCAAGTGTCAGAAATTGTTAACTATAGTTGATGCAAACCATAGCTTGAATACAACAGCAACAGTCTTATCAACTCCGCAAAGGAAGAAGTCATGCCCCAGTAATGGAAATATACCTAATCTGCACCAGAGCAGTCTTACAAGCTCCTATATATGGAAAGTCCCTTATTGTAGGTGAGGAAGTCCACTACATGAATGAAATGCATCAGGGCACACATGGTTAGCATTTGCTTACTCTGATAAGGATTCCCCAGCACACCACTACTAACATACAATGAGGCACCTATCCTATAATTTAGAATAATACATTTTAATAAATCCTGGAAGAATGGAAAATTGAGGCTTTGACCACAGAACCCAGTCAGTTTCTAACAGCTAGAGTATGGTTTTAAGTATGAAAGCCTTCTGTAGGCAACAATTGGAATAACCACCAATTTAGTAACGTCAGCTTTTACGTTGCCAATGCCACATATTGTTTCTGAGCTTAGGAATCCAAACAGCATGGCATTTATCTGAAATATCACAACCTGTTTACTATACCATGTTGTGCAAGAGGATGGTGAATATTTTTCAAAAGCACCTATCATTTTACAGTATTCATAATTTTGACATGTACACTGATTTTCAATCATATTTTGTCCACAAGTGACCTATAATGACTGTTCTTTAGGCCAGAAATAAAAGGTATTTTTAAATGAGGAACTTTATGGTGCTTTACTATTTTGAGTAATAAAATGTGCTATATTGAAGAAAAAAATCTGCAATTAGGTGTGCCTTTATTTTTAATGAGAATGCAACTCACAACGCTTTGGGCCTGGTACATTTATCTTTCCAAGACAACATGGTGACTCAGTGACTTAGAACAGGCAAATGTATATGGTATTACGATTCCTGTTGTACACAAGCATATTCTAGGTCAGTGATTCATTAGACTATGGGACTGGTAGATTGGCAGCTCCAGGGCTTGCAAAGTCAGCAATGACAGCTGCCATGTTTCTTCCCTGACAGATTCCCTTTAAAAGAAACCCATCAAGATGGAAGCATAGGAAGTGCTACAGTATTGTTGAAGGGTAAGGTCACCAGTAGGGTTGCGATCTAGCATGGTGTTGAACTGGGCAGTCCAGTTTTAGAAACCACAGGCCAGTTCAGAACCTTCCTCTCCTGCTGTATTTTTTTTAGGTCCATCCAGGCTAGCAAAACCAGTGTGTAACTTGCAGCCAGTAAAATAAATGCTGTTTAACTGCTTGTCGCCTAATTTGTATCCAATAGAATAATATAAATCTGACACATAGTGGTCTACACTAGGCTTTTCATCCTCCCATCTCTCATCTCAGCAGCACCAACCAGCCACTATTATGACTTCCCACAGTGGCACATCAGCAGAGGAGTAGGGAACTTGTGAATCCAAGGTGTCAGTAGGCCAGTCAGCCACCAGTTCTGCCTGAGCTTTTGTTTTCTCTGTTTATGTGTGAACCAGTAAGCCAAGATCCACCATGGTGCGCCGATGACGGCACTGCGTGTCCTTTGTCAAGCAGCAGCAGGAGCCCCAGATTTTCTCAGTTCCCAGTTTTACAGTATCCTGAGTAGCAATGTTGACATGGTACTGTAGATGGGAAATGCAGTAGAAAAGGGTAGCTGTGAATGAGGCCTAATACATATACTGTATATGATCTGAGTGGGATACTTGCCCAATTGTTCAGGGTGTACCAGAGGTGGTAGTGTAAGTCCAGCATATGCATGCCTATGTGTCTTTTGAACCAGTACACCTTTCACTCCAGCAATTCTTTATTCAAGAAGATACCACTTGCAGTTAAACATGGTGATTATTGTCCCAGTATTGACAAGGGCAATCCTAACTCTTTAACTACAGAAGTGATGTAGACATGTAAACTAATAACATCTCTGAAATAGCAAGCTTGCATTATGTTGTTGATATTCAAAGGGACTTCAAAGTAAATGCAAAGCAGATCAGATTTGCTCTTTGCACTACAAGGTGACAAGTGACTTCAGTACAAGCAGGAAACCCCTTCAAAAGAACAGCACTGAGGTAGAAATCAGACAACATTGCTTGATAATGAGGGAAGGATGAGGCAAAGATGGACATGACCATCAGCGCCTAATGATTTAAAGCTCCCCGCTAACCCTATTAAAAATGCAAGGCTGAGCTTGGTTGCCATAGTGATCCACAAAAAGCCACACAGAATGTCACAGTGCTCCAGGGGAACCGTCCAAACTCATAAAAAAAAAAAAGAAACATAATTTATTGGTTCCTTCAGCAGTG